TTGAAAATAAAAATGTAAATTCAAGCTGAAAAGGTGATAAAAGAAATTCAGACTCTCTGGAGATTTAACCCTGGTCGTCAGCGTGAAAATCCAACGCGCTAACCATTAACCATTCACTTTTTGGCATCAATTCCTGTCACGACCGGAAGTAACGGCGATACAAGATTTTCTCGGGATTCAAATAAACTGATGACTGACTATCAGTCCTGAAAGTTTTAGACTTCAGTCGTTTACTGTTGCCGAGCAATAGTGTGAGAACAAATTCTAATTTTGAGGACAGGTAAACAGGCGACGGGAAGTGAATTTTATATATAAAAAAAAATCTCTGACGTTTCTCTAGACATTTGCAGTATCTACAAAATGCATAAAAACATTTCAAGTACTTTATCGATAAGCAATATTTATGAGAGAGTTAAATATCGAAATAATGTAGTTTATCACCTAAAACCGGAAGTTGACGTTTTTGTTTCCGGTGGAATCTAATATATTGTCCATAACTTGGCACCGGAAGCGAATTTTCAAAATTCCTCCAAGATGTATCAAGTTCCTATGGATGCGCATCATTCCTGAAAATTTCATTGAAAACCACTGAATAGTTGCTGAGAAATCGCGTGCAAAAAATTTAGGGAAAAATGGAGGCTTATGGTATTATAAGCCAGGTTTATGTTGGAAAGACGGGTTTATTCGGATTTGACCTATCCGCCATTATTGTTTCTAATATTATGTTGCTACAATTTGATTGGTTGTTTTTTATAGTGGGGATTCAGCTACAAGCAGTGCGCTAAGTTTGTAAAGAAAATTGTATCGTAAATTATTTGGCCCGTTTCACGGACTTTCAATTATTATACCTAATAATCACCGTACGCTACCAAGATGTCGTGATATGTGTTTTTTGTGAATTTGTGATCGTGAAACAGTTACAAATCAATAAGATTGTGGACACTGTACATTTCGGACGCTGAGGATCAAGTTTCAAATCATGGCTGACCGCGCTCGAAGTCGTAGACGTCCTACCCCATCTAATCGCTGGGATGAGAGCAACACAAACAATTGGACAACCCAACGATATATCGAGGAACTGGCTAAGCTGGGTATTCGTGTCCCTGCCAACATTGGGAAAGTCGTAATGAAGAAACTATATCTGGAGAATCGAGGAATACCCCCCGCGAACGCAGATGCCCGGATAAGCGTTGAATCGAGGGAAGAGGACGTCGCAAATGCCGTGATTGTGCCTCCGAGTACGGAACCAACTCCAGAGAATACTAACAGAATTGAAACAACCAGAGCAACAATTTCAAGCGAAACACCATCGGGGGAAGGATCGAGATCTAGCGCATCAACCAATGTTGCATCGGGATCTAGAGCCAATTTATCCAATATGGCGGCCTCCTCGAACAGTGACATAGTCTGCAGCATGCTGAACACCATGCAGAGCATGCAACAGACAGTACTCGGGCTTCAAAACACAGTCATGAGTTTGGTGGCCGAAAAGAAGAACAGCAAAACAGATGACCACTCATTGGACACAGCAATGGCGGCGATTCGTCAACAACCGGCAATGCAGGGTCCAGCTACAGGTGGGTACACATTACCTAGAACTGAATTTGGCGTCCCGTCAGACTCTCTCTCACACATAGACGTAGTCACTGAAAAGTTAAGAAAAAAGATTTGGGAGGGGAAAGAAGTTAACATGGCCGAATTGCTAATCCCCAAATATGATTCAGACAAACCCAACAACATCACCATCAACCTGATGAAACAAGAAGACCATAGACTACATAAGCAACTCTCTATCGCTGAATTTATTACAGCTTTCGGTAGATATAAGAGAGTTATGTGCCAACGATTTCCAGAGAGACGGGTTGAGTTGGATAGATATGAAGCTATCATAGTAGATATACACAACGTCTATGGTGGAAAATTTTACGACTACCACTGCCAATTCTCATCAAGAGCTGCAACTGCCCTCAGGGATAATGTTAAAATTGACTGGTCGGTGAAAGATCTTGGCCTTCTCATGATGGTAGTGGGTAATGCTACTGCAAACAAATGCTCCACTTGTTCATCAAGCATGCACCTCTCAGCGTTCTGTCCTCAAGTACAACAGAACATCATTCCGGTTATCGGCCAGTCCATGCGAAGTTATCCAACCAACAAAAACCAAACAACTGACAAATACGGTCGAACACGCACCATGGTGAACAACAAGGAGGTGTGCAACAATTTCAATGATAATAGATGTAGGAAAACGAACTGTCAGTTTGAGCACATATGTACAGTGTGTCACGAAAACGACCACGGAGCCTCCCTGTGTAAGAGAAGCCAAAGAAGTTCCATGGCATCCATACCGAGTAAAAAGTGACTAGTGAACTGTGAAAGAACTTCTTCTCAAGTCTCAACGCCTGTAAATGTGAATAACTTAAGATCAGAACTCTGTAATCATCCGGATAAAAATTTTGTCCAATATTTGTGCGAAGGATTCATTTTTGGCTTTGATACTATGATTTCAAACACCAGAATAGAAACACTAGAATGTAAAAACTTATTATCAGCAAGAAAGCAACCTGAAGTTGTAGATAAACTTGTGAAAAGTGAACTTGAGAGAGGTTTCTTGACTGGACCTTTCGAAGAACCTCCATTTACCAACTATAGAGTGAGTCCAATCGGGATTACAATGGGAAAGTACTCTAAAAAACCTCGGTTAATAGTTGACTTATCTTCACCACATGACAGTGAACATGCAAGTGTTAACTCTCTGATCAACAAAGAAGAATGCTCCCCATCGTATGTGAAGATAGATGATGCCATCAAAACAATTCAAAGCCTGGGGAAGGGAACAACCATGTGCAAAACCGATATATCAGACGCTTTTAAATTGGTACCAATCTTACCCTCTCAGTGGCATTTGTTCTGTATCAAATGGAAGTCAAACTATTATTATTACAACAAATTATCTTTTGGATGTCGTTCTAGCCCTAAAATCTTTGACAATCTATCCCAAGCAGTATGTTGGATTGCCACCAATAACTATGGTGTAAAGCATATACTCCACTTGTTAGATGATTTCATCACTTTCGAACGTCCAGAGGAAGACGGAGATACTAATATGAAACTTTTGTTTCATATATTTACATCACTCAACATACCAATGGCGCTGCATAAAACTGAAGGCCCCACAACATGTTTAGAATACCTAGGTATAATTCTAGATTCTGAAGCTATGGAAGCCAGATTACCAGGTGACAAGCTGTCCAGAATTAAGGAGTTTCTTACCTCTTTTTATTCACAGAAAAGCTGCACTAAAAGGGAACTCTTACAGTTATTAGGCCACCTTAATTTTGCAAGCAGAGTTATACCACCGGGAAGATCCTTTGTGTCTCATCTCATCCGACTGTCTACAACAGTCAAAGAACTGCACTATCACATCACAATTAATGCAGCCTGCAGGGAAGACATAAGGATGTGGCTAACATTTCTGAATGGTTGGAATGGCATTAATTTGTTCTACAATGTGTCGCAGATCACATCAGAAGAACTTAATCTGTTTACAGATGCTTCAGCTACCTTGGGATATGGTGGATACTTCAGAGGACTATGGTTTTCTTCATCTTGGTCAGATGAACTAGTACCTTTATTAAAAACCTGGATGCAAGATGAAGATGGCGTATCCATAGCCTTCTATGAACTATACCCTATAGTTGTTGCTTCAATTCTATGGGGGGTAATGTGGAAAAAACAAAGGATAATTTATGTGTGACAATATAGCAACAGTTGCTATCCTTAACAAGGGTAGATCTAAATCCCATCATATTATGCCCCTGATGAGACGCCTTACTCTAATAGCAGCAAAATATAACTTCATTTTTTCTTCCGTACATGTACCGGGTCGAACAAATTTAATAGCAGATGCTCTATCACGTTTGCAGATTTCCAAATTCCGCAGCCTCGCTCCTCAAGCACAAGATCAACCATGCAGTGTTCCTCATCCGAGGGAAGTGTTATGGATCTCAACGACACCGTGAACATGTTATGGACCAATGCAGTGGCACCAAGCACTAGGTGCACATACCAAACAGCCTTTCATGTATATGTAAAATTCCTTTTGTTGTCAAATATTATTACAAATGCATGTATTTCTGAGGTTCCTGTATCTGAAGATTACTAAATTTCATTCGTAGCATACTGTGTTAGCAAACTTCAGATAAGCTACTCAACTATCAAGTTGTATTTGTGTGGAGTTAAATTTATGTGTTTGCAAGATAACATTGCATATCCTGACAATACTCAGTTATGTAGACTTAAGGCTATTATGAATGGTGTTAAACGTGTACAATCACCATCTCGCAGTTTAAGGTATCCAGTCACGTTCGACATTTTGAAAAGGGCTTGTCTTTATTTAAGAAAGATAGACAATTTTTACAATTTGATGTTAGAAACTGTATGTACTGTTGCATTTTTTGGCTTTTTGAGATGTGGAGAATTTACATGTAAAGAAGTATTTGATCCTTCTATACATATTTGTATAAGTGATTTATCTATCTTTGAGGATTATGTACATTTACAACTCAAAATTTCTAAAACTGACCCATTCAGGAAAGGAGTCATCATTAAACTGTTTTCTACAGACAATATTATTTGTCCTTTCGCTGTATGTTGTAAATATTTAAAGGCAAGGTACAAATTGTCATGTTCTCCACAAAGTCCATTGTTTGTAAATCAAAATGGTGCTCCTTTGACAAGAGTTGAATTTATTTCAGCTTTTAAGCATGTGTTAACTTGTATCGGTTGTGATGCGGATGTGTATAATGGACATTCTTTCCGAATCGGTGCGGCTACGACTGCAGCTTCTGTCCATGTGGAGGACCATATTATTAAAACATTAGGAAGATGGGCCTCCGATGCCTATTGTAGATATATTAGAACTCCAGTATCTGTGTTACGAGATGCTCAGCGTTCCTTAGTACTGTAGATTCATAGGCTGATCACACTACTTCCTATCTCACTACAGACTTGTAAAAAACAATTAAGCTTGTAACTTTACCTATAGATGTTATAATGTTAGCCTTATATATAGTACTGGTTTATCATACACAATTTGGCATCATTTTGGGGCACTCAGTCTCATATCTATAATGTACATAAGTATTTACATTTATATCTATTCAACTGACTTTTGGCCACCATTTAATAAATTTTACGAATGCTGTAACAATTAATTAAATTTTCCCCCAAAATTCTGTTTTATTTTGACACTAATATCTTATTTTCCGGCTCTTGTGACTTCCCCATGTAGATATCCAACGCAACACGACGATTTCTTAATATGCTAATACTGCATAGGAAGTTACACCGAGTTAATAAGGTATCAACATCCTTCCATGATTCTCTTCCGGCTCTTGTAGCCCGGAACTGGTTTCTCACAGCCTTCCACAGCTGCTACACCGAGTTGAGATCCACTGGAAGTAGGGCTAGTCTCAAGACTCACTAGTTACACCGAGTTGACTGGTACAATTGAGCTGTACCTTTCTTCCGGCTCCTGCAACTGGACTGCTGTCTTGAACTGGTTGTTAGCTATTGGAATTAATGGCTGAGTCTGCCCCTACTGATGCCAAAGTAACGTGTATTTTGTGTTACATTTTATTGTATATGTTTAATAGATGTGTTCTGGAATGTTGTAGTGTAGATTAATAAACTTTGTACATTTATTCAGACTTCTTCTGGTTTCTTTCCAACATAAAAATAAGAATAACTAGAAACTCATTGCGAGCAATGAGAGGTCTTCCGTCCGATTTTGAAAATGAAAACGTAAATTGAAGCTAAAAAGTGATTAAAAAAAATCAGACACACTGGAGATTTAACCCTTGTCGTCAGCGTGAAAATCCAACGCGCTAACCATTTCGGCATTTGGACTCTCGCTTCAAAGTGAAAATGACGAATATCTAGAGTTTGGATTTATCATTTCGAAAACAAATTATATATTTAGTATTTTGAAAAGAGGCTCTCTTAACCCTACAAATATTACAGAAAAATATTTAATTAGAAAAAATCGATTTTTTAAATTCGCTTCAGGTAGCGACCGGAAGTAACGACGACGCATGAAAAAGTCCCCTCTCCAATCTAAAAATCATGTTCTATCATCTCAAACAAGTCTCTAGATTATATCTTTAGCCATTTTTGAAAACACTCACAGAAAAAGTTTCATCTTAAAATCAAAAAAATGTCCACCGGAACCGAATTTACCAAAAACGGAATTTCATATAAAACTCATATAAAGATCTTTTATCTCTGAAAATTTCAAAGAAATTCATTGAATAGTTCTCGAGAATTCGCGTGCAGAAGATTTTGTCTTAAAAAAAAGAGAATAATAAAAATTCTCTAGAGTTTGGATTTATCAATTTTAAAACAAATTATATATTTATCATTCTTAAAAGAGTCTCTATTAACCCTACTAATATCGTAGAAAAATATTGAAAAACAGAAAAGTTGAAAAATTCGACTTTTTTAATTCGCTTCCGGTAGCGACCGGAAGTACTGATGACGAAAATCAAGGTCGATTTGCATATCTAGAAGCCATGTTCTATAATCTCTAACAAGTCTCCAGTTCATATCTTTAGTTGTTCTTTAGATATCCCGCGGAAACTATTTCATTTTAAAATCAGAAAAATGTCCATAACTTGGAACCGGAAGCGAATTTTCCCAAAATTCTTTTAAATGTAACAATGCCATTAACTGGCGCGTTATCCCTGAAAGAATGATGAAAAACCACTGAATAGTTCTCGAGATATTGCTTGGACAAAATTTGTCTAAAAAATAAGAATAATAATAATAAGAAACAGTCGAATCACTATAAGGTCTTCCGTGAAGACGAAAGACCTTAATAATAATAATAATAATAAGAAACAGTAGAATCACTATAAGATCTTCCGTGAAGACGGAAGACCTTAACTAGAGCAAAGCTCGTTGCAAAGCAACGAGTAGGTCTTCCGTATGACTTACGATGTTGACTGTGATAGATTTACTCAAAAAAAAAGAAGGAAGAACAAGTATATTTGAATAAAAATAGGCGATTGAATTATTCAAAATATGTTTAGAAACACATGAAAGGGTGATATCTTTTAATTTCAACCCATTTCAGGTTCTTTTAAATTCACTTCCGGTTTGAAAATAAGTGCTCAAAACGACTTAAAACTCCAAAATGAGTGTGTACAAATCTTTCCAGTAAGTTCATTCATTTTTTGACAACTTCCGGTTTAGAGGATCCAACTACCGGTGGATATGAAATGACTTGAAACACCCTATATGACTATGTTATAAACACTTAATAATGAAAAAAACATAAAAATTGCGTATTTTAAAACTACTTCCGGTGGACAACGGAACTGACACCGGAAAAAACAAAACATCGGAGGCACATCTACAGATCAAGATCTATTATCCCAGAAAGTTTCATGATTCTATCTTCAACCTTTTTTGAGAAGAGGCACAGACAAAATTTCAATTTAAAAACACAAAATCAGGTATAACTTGCGACCGGAAGTGACATCATCGAAATAAACAAAATTCCTTAAGTTCATGTAATTTGCCACCATTGCTGAAAGTTTCTGGAAAATCCATCCATGCATTTACGAGAAACCGCGTGCACAAAATCAGTAAGAATAATAATAATAACTAGATGCGATCTCGTTGCGAGCAACGAGTGGTTCTTCCGTCCGATTTTCGATGAGATAAGAATTTGACTGAGATTTTCAAAAATCGAAAAGTTACGTACTGTTTAGAACATTATTTTGAACATCTTTTATTCTATATTGCTTATCAAAACATTTCCCACTTTCGAGATATAGAGTGCCAAAGATTTGGCCTTCTGGCCCCTCATGGCCCCTAATTATGTAACACCTGGATGTCAATATCATAATATATAGTTGGAAATTGTTGAAATAAACATTTTTGCTTCAGTAATGAATTGCAAAATGTTGATCATTAAAGAGTTATTGATTAAAGACTCTTGGCCCCTCTCGGCCCCTATTTTGAGGGGCCAGCCCCTTTTTCTTCATACCACCTTAAAGCTCTTATGATTTTGAACACTTTTTGTTCAACAACTATTCAGAAATTCTTTTTCGTTTCCGAGATATATGCAAAAGATATATTTAGGGGCCAGCCCTTCAACTCCTTAATGGGGACGTTTAGCAAAAATCGAAAAGTTACATACTGTTTAGAACATTATTTTGAACATCTTTTTTTCTATATTGCTTATCAAAACATTTCCCACTTTCGAGATATAGAGTGCCAAACATTTGGCCTTCTGGCCCCTCATGGCCCCTAATTATGTAACATATGACATAAATATTATAATATATAGTTGTAAATTGTTAAAATAAACATTTTTGCTTCAGTAATGTATACCAAAATATTGATCGTTAAAGGGTTATTGATTTAATGCTTTTGGCCCCTCTCGGCCCCTAATATGATAAGTCAGCCCTTTTTTCTTGATATCATATTAAAGATCTTGTCATTCTGCACAAATATTGTTCAATGTGTTTTAGTAAAATAATTATACTTTAAAAGATATGATACAAAATGTCTCAAAAATTCACTCATAATTCGTGTCCTAAATTTCGACCCCTACCGAGCTTCCATACTAGGCACTTCCGGAAAATATCTAAACCCAGGTGCAAAATGGCAACATGTCCTCTATCATCATTGAAAATTTCAGCGCTCTATCTTAAGCCGTTTTTGAGTTCCATCGCAGACAAGGAGGTC